TGAATCTCCCCCTTTTCTCCCGAGAGGCATCCCCCCCATCCCCCGCCCCCCCCCGAAGATGTCCTCCCTATGCCGGAAGGGGAGTGAGTGACGTTCTTTTCTTCCTTTTTTTTTTTTTTTTTAATTATTCTTTTTAAAAGACTTTTATTTATTTGAGAGGAGGGGGGGGGGGGAGGGAGGGGGGAGGGAGGGAGAGAGAGAGAGAGAGAGAGAGAGAGAGATTGAGAGAGAGAGAAGCAGAGTCTCCGCCGAGCAGGGAGCCCGATGTGGGGCTGGATCCCCGGACCCTGAGCTCAGGGCCTGAGCCGAAGGCAGGCGGACGGTTCACGGATTGAGCCAGCCAGGCGCCCCAGCTTTCTTGTTTCTTTGTCTGCCTGCTTGCCTGCGTGTTGGGTCTGTGGATGTCTGATGCCTGCCCTCTGATTTCGTGGGGAGGTGGGCCGTCTTTCCTCCTTCCAATGGCCTTTGCGCATTTGTCAAACTTCTGTCGGGCTTGGGCCTATCTGTTTGGGTATCTGTGGCGTTCCATCCACCGACCTGTCTCTTTTGTCTGCCAACATCACAGGGTCTCTATCGCCTCTATACATAAGCATGAAACGGGCCCGGAGAGGACGACTTTGTTTCCTGAGTTTTGTTTTGTTTTCTTCGAAATCACCATAGCGATTCTAATTCCTTTTGCCTGTCTGCTTGTGTATGTAATCTGTACACCCATCCAGTGCGGTGCTGGAACTCACGACGCCCGCCGATCAAGAGTCGCGGTCGCGTGGGCCTCCTCCGACCGAGCCAGCCAGGTGCCCTGAAATACGTGTACTTGAAAAACCAATGTGAAGCCTGCACCCGTGAACTTTTTTTTTTAAAGATTTTATTTATTTATTTGAGACAGAGAGAATGAGAGAGACAGAGAGCACATGAGAGGGGGGAAGGGTCAGAGGGAGAAGCAGACTCCCTGCCGAGCAGGGAGCCCGATGCGGGACTCGATCCCGGGACTCCGGGATCATGACCTGAGCCGAAGGCAGTCGCTTAACCAACTGAGCCACCCAGGCGCCCTTTTTTTTCTTTTCTTTTCTTTTTTTTTTTTAATAGATGCACCCGTGAAGTGTTTACTGCGAAACCTTCTTTTGATCGTCGCACTCTTGAGTGGAGGCCGTACCAGTAAAGAACGTAGTTTAGCCAACTCAGGAAGAGATCAGCTTTAAAGGAAAACCTTCTTTTCGAGTTTGTGATGTCTGGTCCTTTCTCTCAACTCGATCGATGTCCAGCCTTCAGAGCCACATTATTTGCTTGGTCTCTCTCTCTCTCTCTCTCTCTCTCTCTCTCTCTCTCTCTCTCTCTCGTCTGTGTTTCCTCGTGTACTTTCCTGATGCTCAGGATTTATGGTTTAGAGAGAACAGTTTTCAGCCTGGTGTGTGTGTGGGGGGGGGGGGGATGTTGTGAAGTGGGATCAGGGATTCACGCGGGTAAGGAGGAGGCAAGGAGAAAGGCTTGGTTGGGAAGGAAACCATTAAAGGTCCATGTTGAAATGGTGAAGTTTATTTTATTTATTTATTTATTTATTTATTTATTTACTTTTTAAAGATTTTATTTATTTATTTGACAGAGAGAGACAGCGAGAGAGAGAACACAGGCAGGGGGAGTGGGAGAGGGAGAAGCAGGCCTCCCGCGGAGCAGGGAGCCCGATGTGGGGCTCGATCCCAGGGCCCTGGGCTCGTCACCTGAGCCGAAGGCGGACGCTTAACGACTGAGCCACCCCCCAGGTGCCCCGAAATGGTGAAGTTCAATGTAGTAAGAGTTACCTTTAATCAAAGGAATTCTTTTTTTTTTCTTTTATTTTATTCTTATGTTAATCCCCATACATTACATCATTAGTTTTAGATGAAGTGTTCCATGATTCATTGTTTGTGCACAACACCCACTGCTCCATGCAGAATGGGCCCTCCTCAATACCCACCACCAGGCTAACCCATCCTCCCACCCCCCTCCCCTCTAGAACCCTCAGTTTGTTGTTCAGAGTCCATCGTCTCTCATGGTTCGTCTACCCCTCTGATTTCCCCCCGCTTCATTCTTCCCCTCCTGCTACCTCCTCCTCCTCCTCCTCCTCCTCCTCCTCCTCCTTCTTCTTCTTCTTCTTTTTTTTTTCTTAACATAGATTGCATTATTATTTGTTTCAGAGGTACAGATCTGAGATTCAACAGTCTTGCACAATTCACAGCGCTTACCAGAGCACACACCCTCCCCAGTGTCCATCACCCAGTCACCCCATCCCTCCCACCCCACCCCCCACTCCAACAACACTCAGTTTGTTTCCTGCGATTAAGATAATCAAAGGAATTCTTGCTGGAGGTTGCTTCTCCCCTCTCCTCCCTGGATAGGGGAGTGAAGTTTTTTCGAGGTCCCTAGTGGACACAGAAAGCGTTCAAGTGCCCCTAGCACCTATGGATGGGGCTCTGTTGCCCTCTAGTGTCCTATCCTCTGCTACTGCTGCTCGTGGTTTCCTCTGACGTCGTATTCGTCACAGGTGTGTATCTTTGATGGTTAATGCTGCTCGGTGTCGGTTGTTTGCGTGTTTGTTTTTGAAAGCTTTTTGAGTGATCATCCAGCATGGTGCTGGAACTCACGACCCCTGCAGATCAAGAGTCGCAGTCGCGTGGGCCTCCTCCGACCGGAGCCAGTCAGGTGCCCTGAAATGCGCTTAGTTGAAACAGGAAGAAAGAAAAAACAAAAAACAAAACCCAAACCATTTTTTTTTTCCCCCTTTACGAGCCAGAGGAAGTTCTACGCCTTGTTTTTGTTTTACCCTTAATAGCATGGAACAGTTCCCCTCCTCCTCCTCCTCCTCCTCCTCCTCCTCCTCCTCCTCCTCCTCCTCCTCCTCCTCCTCCTTCTTCTTCTTCTCCATCATCATCATCATCATCATCAATATTTAACTCTTCTAGAGCACCTCCCCCGCCCACCCCGTACTAGTGTTGGACGGCACGGATGTCCCGGAACTGGATTTCTTTAAAGATATATATTTTTACGATTTTATTGATTTATTTGACAGAGGGAGACACAGCGAGAGAGGGAACACAAGCAGGGGGAGTGGGAGAGGGAGAAGCAGGCTTCCTGCCGAGCAGGGAGCCCGATGCGGGACTCGATCCCGGGACTCCGGGATCATGACCTGAGCCGAAGGCAGTCGCTTAACCAACTGAGCCACCCAGGCGCCCTCTTTTTTTTTTTTTCTTAACATAGATTGCATTATTTGTTTCAGAGGTACAGATCTGAGATTCAACAGTCTTGCACAATTCACAGCGCTTGCCAGAGCACCTACCCTCCCCAGTGTCTATCACCCAGTCACCCCATCCCTCCCACCCCACCCCCCACTCCAGCAACCCTCAGCTTGTTTCCTGCGATTAAGAATTCCTCCTATCCGTGAGATCATAGGATACATGTCTTTCTCTGTTTGACTTATTTCGCTCAACATAATACCCTCCAGTTCCATCCACGTCGTTGCCAATGGCAAGATCTCATTCCTTTTGATGGTTGCATGATATTCCATTGTATGTATATATATACCACATCTTCTTTATCCATTCATCTGTCGATGGACATCTTGGCTCTTTCCACAGTTTGGCTATCGTGGATATTGCTGCTATAAACATCGGGGTGCACGTACCCCTTCGGATCCCTATTTTTGTATCTTTGGGGTAAATACCCAGTAGTGCAATTGCTGGATCATACGGCAGCTCTAGTTTCAACTTTTTGAGGAATCTCCATACAGTTTTCCAGAGTGGCTGCACCAGCTTGCATTCCCACCAACAGTGTAGGAGGGTTCCCCTTTCTCCGCATCCCCGCCAACATCTGTCATTTCCTGACTTGTTACTTTTAGCCATTCTGACTGGTGTGAGGTGGTATCTCATTGAGGTTTTTTTTTTTTTTTTAAGATTTTATTTATTTATTTGAGAGAGAGAGAGAGAGACAGAAAGAGAGCATGAGAGGGGGGAGGGTCAGGAGGATCAGAGGGAGAAGCAGACTCCCCGCTGAGCAGGGAGCCCGATGCGGGACTCGATCCTGGGACTCCAGGATCATGACCCGAGCCGAAGGCGGTCGCTTAACCAACTGAGCCACCCAGGCGCCCTCATTGAGGTTTTGATTTGGATTTCCCTGATGCTGAGCGATATTGAGCACTTTTTCATGTGTCTGTTGGCCATTTGGATGTCTTCTTTGGAAAAATGTCTGTTCATGTCTTCTGCCCATTTCTTGATTGGATTCTTTGTTCTTTGGGTGTTGAGTTGGATGAGTTCTTTATAGATTTTGGATACGAGCCCTTTATCTGATATGTCATTTGCAAATATCTTCTCCCATTCTGTCGGTTGTCTTTTGGTTTTGTGGACTGTTTCCTTTGCTTTGCAAAAGCTTTTTATCTTGATGAAGTCCCAAGAGTTCATTTTTGCCTTTGCTTCCCTTGCCTTTGGCGATGTTTCTAGGAAGAAGTTGCTTTGGCTGAGGTCAAAGAGGTTGCTGCCTGTGTTCTCCTTTAGGATTTGGATGGACTCCTGTCTCACATTGAGGTCTTTCAACCATTTGGAGTCTATTTTTGTGTGTGGTGTAAGGAAATGGTCCAGTTTCATTCTTCTGCATGTGGCTATCCAATTTTCCCAACACCATTTGTTGAAGAGACTGTCTTTGTTCCATTGGACATTCTTTCCTGCTTTGTCAAAGATGAGTTGACCATAGAGTTGAGGGTCCATTTCTGGGCTCTCTATTCTGCGGAACTGGATTTCTTGAGTGAAGGACTATTTTAACTCCCTTCCTCCCCATTCCGCGCCTGCCCCCGCCCCGCCCCCGCCCCCGCACGCACCGCCCCGCCCCGCCCCCCGCCCCCGCACGCACCGCCCCGCCCCGCCCCCCGCCCCCGCACGCACCGCCCCGCCCCGCCCCCCGCCCCCGCACGCACCGCGCGCCCCGCCCCCCGCCCCCGCACGCACCGCGCGCCCCGCCCCCCGCCCCCGCACGCCCCGCCCCGCTTGTTGGCCTTGGACGTTATCGCGTACGTGCAGAGACGGATTTGATGTGCACCTTTCTGGGGGTGTGTGTCAATCCCCCCCCCCCCTTCCTGTCCTGAGCTTTCTTCGTATGCTTCAGAGAGACCTCCTCCTCCCCTTAAAATGATAGAAGAGAGAAGGTTCATCCGTGGTGGTTGTCGGAGTACTCGCTTGGTCTCGGTTTTACGGTCCTTGCCCGCCGAAATGTGTCTTAAGTCCTCCCGGAAGCCCGGGCGCCGCAGGTGTGCCGCTGTGGGAGGCCCGTGCCCCACGAGATCGGGCGGCCGGGCGGCCGGGCTGTGCGCCTTCGCGGGCCCGCGATCCGGATCTGCCTCGTTGTTGTTCGCGCCGGTTGTCGGGTGCCACCTGGCGGCCGCTTTTAGATAGCGTGTCCCCGCCGGAGTGTCAGCGATGTCGGCAAGGGATTGTATTTGGCCGCGGTTCCCGAGGCGGAGTACCGGGAGGCCGGCGACGCTAGCGAGATCGGCCCGCTGTCTCCGGGCCACCGGCGCGACCTCCGCTCGCGGGAGATTGAGCCTCCAGGTTTGTGGGCTGGTGGTGGCGCCGCCGCCTCGCTCCCGGAGAGCCACGCTAGGGTGGCCGCCTGGACGGGTCGACCAGCACCCGCCGGTGCCCCCTCCTCCGCCCGCGGGAATGGGAGAGGCTGCGTCGGGCGCCCGGACGCCATCCGGCCCGTGGCTCCGGTCGGCCGTTGGGCCTTCCGTGTCACGCTCGGGCGGTTGGGGACCGGCCTGAGCCTTGCGGGGAAGCCCATGGATGGCGCGACGGGCCCCGCCGCGGGCACGCGTGGGGTCCCGGTCATCGGACCCGATATTTTTTTTTTTTTTTTTTTAAGGTTTTTATTTATTTATTTATTTGAGAGAGAGAGAATGAGAGACAGAGAGCATGAGAGGGAGGAGGGTCAGAGGGAGAAGCAGACTCCCCGCCGAGCAGGGAGCCCGATGCGGGACTCGATCCCGGGACTCCAGGATCATGACCCGAGCCGAAGGCAGTCGCTTAACCAACTGAGCCACCCAGGCGCCCCGGACCCGATATTCTTAACAAGTTTTCCGAGGCCCGCTGCGGAGGTGGGGACCCGACCGGGTCGGGCCGGGCCGGGCCGGGCCGCGAGGGCCCCAGGGGCCCGGCTGCGGTTCCCGTTGAGGTCCGGCCTTCGGGGGGACGCCTCCGCGGCATCGCCCCCTTTCCTCAGTCCCGGCCGGGAGTCGGGGACCGGCATGGGGCGGTCCTGAGGCCCGGGGAGGAGGGCGTCCGCAGGGGCCTCCACAGAACTTGGTGAGAATTTCTAAAGTCCCGATTTGGGGACGAAAGGCGGACCCGGGGGCGGGCCTATCCGGGCCGCTCCACCTCCCGCCAAGTCCCTACTCGCTGCCGGCTGCCACCACGTTCCGGGGGTCGACCAGATGGCCCGGGGGGGGGGGGGGGGGGCGGGGGGGGCGGGGGGGGGCTCCGGGGGGAGACGGGGGCGATGGATTAGTGCTTGGGGCCCGTGGCCGGGACACGGTCCCAGGAGATCCCGGTGACCTGTGGCTAGGCCACGCCAGGCGGCGCGGCTATTTTCTCGCCCGAAATGAGCCCTTTTTGCCGCCAGGTAGGTGCTGGCACGTTATGTTTGGGCGATCCTCTCCTTAAGGGAGGTGGGCTTCTGGGCGTGTGGCGGGGCTCCGGGCTTGACAGGGATGCCAAGCCCGGCTCTGCCGTCGCTGGCCTGAGCCGTCCGCGTGGGCCTGTGCGCCGGCTCCTGTGCCTCCAGGTGGCCCAGGCCGTTGGTGCCGCCTCCGGTCTCCAGCACCCGAGGGCGGTTGTGGGCAGGTGGCGCGTGGGTCCTTTACCCTGTGTCCTCCACTCTGCGGGCACCCGGCTGTGGTCGTGACAACCTCCCGTCCCGCAAGGCTCCGTGCCGCGTGTCAGGCGTTCCTCTCTCTCGGGTTGTCCGGCTGTTCCTGCCCTGGGGTTTTCGAGGGGGTGCCGGTGAGGCCGAAAAAAAACAAAACCAAACAGGCTCCCCCTCGGGTTGCTGTCCTCACCGGCTTCTCCCCTCCTCGGGCTCCTCTCGGCGCTTGTGTTTTGCCAGATCGATGTGGTGCTCTCGCGCTCTCCCGGGCCGGGCCTAAGCCGCGCCAGACGAGGGACGGACGTTCATGGCGAATGGGACCGCTCTTCTCGTTCTGCCCGCGGGCCCCTCGCTCCTTCGCCTCTGCCCGCCGTGGCGGTAAGGTGGGGGGTGCGGGGGGGGTGTGTGCAGGCTCCGGCCCGACCCCGCCTTCCCGTGTTCTGCCTGACGGCGCTCGCGGGCCCGGGGTCCCCCGACGCAGCGGACACTCTCGCTTGCCTTCCCTGGCTTCGTGTGGTGCGCGGTCCTCCCCGCCACGGGGAGGGCCGTCCCGGCGCCGCGCTGCTCACGCGCTTGGGCGTGCTGAGCGCGTTGTGCGCGTGGCCCTCCGTGGTGCCCCTGGAGCGCTCCAGGTCGTCTCAGGTGCCTGAGGCCGAGTCGGTAGCGTCGTTTCCCGTTCCCAGCGAGCCCCCTCCGTCGGGCCACCGCTGTCGGTGGCGTGTCCGAGGAGCGGGTGGTGGAGTCGGTAAGGGAGGCCCACCCCGCCCCCCCCCCGTGGGACGCGGGTGCCTCGTCATCCCCCGCCGCAAGCTGTGCTGGTGGTGTTGTGGGGACTGGACTTGGTGGGGGCGTGTGTGAGCCGGTTGCGGCGGGCCGAGCCCGCGCTCTGGCGCTTGGCCAGCCGAGGGGCTGCCGCCTTTTTTGCCTGGCATGCCGTGCTTTGTCTCCGCTCGTCGTTGCCTCGCCGGAGGCGCAAAACTCCCGGTTGGTCGGGGACGCGAGCATGGCGTGCGTGGCGTGGCGAAGGGCGGTCTCCTCCCGGGGTCCCGGCCGCGAGCGCTCAGGATTGCCTTGTGGTGCCTGTTCCTTACCGCGCGAATCCACCGCCCGCCCCCCGGAGCCCTTGGCTGTCAGGCCTTCGGAACGCCGTTCCGCGGGGCCCGGACGGGCGGGGGGGCACGATTTGGGTGGGGGCGATGCGCCCTCGGTGAGAAAGCCTTCTCTAGCGATCCGAGAGGGTGCCTTGGGGTACCGGAACCCCCCAGCCGCCGCCCCTCCTCTGCGCGTAGTGGCCACCGGTGCGGGGTGACTACCGTTGCGTGTTGGGCAGAACTTCCTCTCTGCGAGGGGTCTGACTCTGCCGGCCCCGCGGTGGGGGCCGAGCGCCGCTCTTTGCCTACCGCGGCCTGCGCCTCCCCCCTCCGAGTCGGGGGAGGGTCCCGCCGGGCCTGGCCGGCGTCCGGCGCGTGGGGGCTCCCGCGTGCGTGCGAGCGCGCGGGCGGCCGCCCTTCCTCGTGGCGTTGTCTCTCGAGGGGCTCGGGGGGCGCCCCCGCGCGTCCCGCTTCCCCGTGCCGCGCGAGCGGCTGTCTGCCCGCCCGCTCCCGTCCCGAGTCGCCGCTGGCGGTGGCGTGCCGGGCACGGGTCGGGCCGCTCTCGCCTGGGGGCGCTTCCCCCCAGGGTCGTGACTTCCGGGACGGACCGGACAGACGGAGGTTCAAGACGGGACCCCGCGGCGGGGGGGTTCACGTGGGGTTGGGCCCCAGCAGTGTGGGGCCCGGTTCGTGGTGAGGTGCGCCAAGGGTGCTGAGGCCGGCTGGCGTCCTGGGCGTCGCGGGACCGCTCTCGTGCTGGTGGCGGTGGGATCCCGTGCACGTTTACCTGGTGGCCCGGCTTGCGTCTTCGTTGGCGCGCCCTTCCCCGAACCGGCTCGCCCCCGCACGCGCTCCCGGCCCTCGCCCGCTGTGCTTTCCCCCCCTCCCCGCCGCCGCCGACGGACTCCCGCTGCCCTTGCCTCGACCGGATGCCTGAAGGCGCGTTTGTGTCCTCGATCCGCTCTCTCGGGACCGAAACCGGCCTCGCCGCTTGTTTGGGTGTCGTCCCCTCCCCGGGCCGCTATGGCTTTTTTGGGGGGTGGTCGTCCCCAGGCGAAGTGCTCTCGGTCCCGTCGTGAGGAGGAGGAGAAGGTCCGCGCGGGGTCCGGCCTCTAGCCGGGTGGCGGGGGTGGCGTCGTTGCGCGTGCGGGAGAGTGTTCTGGGGGGCCGGCCGTGACTGCGGTGGTGTTGGTGGTGTTTCGGGGCCCGAGCCCCGCGAGGTTGCCAAGGGCCCGCCGTGGGGGCCAGGTCGGCGTCCTTGGGTGCCACGGGACCGTCCTTGTGCTTGGAGGCCTTGGGCGGTGGGACCCCGTGTTGGCCCTTGGTGTCCGGCCTTTGGTCTTGGAGGCGCTTTTTCGAAAGGGTTCCCTGAGCACTCTCGCGGCTGCTCGCCGTCCTCTCTAACCCCCCCCGCCGCTTTTCCTGTTCCTGGCGCTGCCTAGTTCCTCGCCGCTGAGCCGTCTTGTGGCCTCCCCCCGTCCGGCTGCCGATCCGGTGTCGCGCCCCCGGTGCGCTAGCGCTTCCCGGGCCCGCTGCGGCCTCCCATCCGTGTCCGGCGCCGCCCGCCAGCCCGGCGGTGGCGCTGCGTGCTGACGAGGGGACCGCCTCCCCCCCCCGCCGTGGCCCCCGCTCTGGCGCGCGTGCTCGGGCGTGGGTCGGGTCCCGGCTGTCCGTCGTGGCTGCCGCGGCCGCGCGCTGCCTCCCCGGCGGTGGTGGGGGGGCCGGGCTCCGGCCCGGCCCCCTCTCGTGCCGTGGGAGCGCGCGCCGGCCCGCCGGCCTCGGCGTGACTGCCCGGTGTCCCGTCCCCGCCCGCGCGCCGCCGTCGAGGCCGCCCCGGGCGTTGGGGGGGGTGGGTGAAGCGTTCCCTCGCCTCTCCACGCCGCCGCCGGCGTGCCCTCGTCCGCGTGGGGCGGGGCCGGTCAGTCAGCTTCGCCCGCCGTTGCGGGTGGGGCGGGCCGTGGTTGTTGAGCCGGGTGAGCCTCTCTCCCGCTCTGTCTCCCCGGCCCTGCCGGTTTCTGCGCTCCCGAGGGAGTTGGTTGCCGCCGCGTGCGTGCGTGCGTGCGTGCGTGCCCCCCCGTGTTCGTCACGTCCGGCCCAC